TCTAAATGGACAGACACTCAATCCACCTGAACATTCCCATCTCCGAACAAAACTTAATTTTATGCTTCTCTTTTATAGGCCAACATTTTTCAGTATAAATTATTGCTGCTCTCATCACCATCTTAAAAAAAATTTCTTTTAAGTCTAAGCAATAATTTTCTATCACACAATAGTCTGATGCATTCCTCCACTTCAAACCAACTTGAATTCTACTAATAAATTCTCATCTATATCATCATCACTTTGAACAATAGACCTGAGATATCTAGCACATTCACTCATTTTAATGACTTGATCACTCATTACAACCCCGCCACCAGATGTACTACTACAAAAATTATATTCTATTATTCAGTTTTAGATCTACTAAAATAAAAGTCATTAGACTCTAAACTAAACCTCCATAATTCAAATTTTTTCAGAACTCTATCTAGCCTTACCCATAAGAAGAATATTATCAGTGAAAAGTATACACCAAGATACATCATCCTATAAACGTCCAATAAAATCACCTATAACTAAAGCAAAAAGATATAGACTTAAATTTGATTCATGTTGTAATCCAACTGAAATAGGAAAATTCTTTGTCAACCATCTATGTGTCAAACACAAGTAATAGTTCTAATATACATATCTTTAATGATTTGAATATAAGTAATATCAACCAAAGTACTTCTCTCGAAACCTTTTCATAAACTTTTTCAGCAAAAATAATATGTAGATAATCTTTGCTTTCTCTATACTTTTCCGTCGAATCTCTCGGTAAATGCATAGTTACTGTAATATACTTGCCCAACATGAATCCAAATTACTTTTGCAAAATTTTTGTATCACGTCGTAACCTATGTTCAACTGCTTTCTACCATAATTTTAATTTATGACACATTAACTTAATTCTTCTATAATTTGCACACTCACGTGCATCTCCTTTATTCTTGAAAAAAAAACCATTAGATTATTTCTCCACTCATCATACATCTTTTTAGTTTTTAAAACAATACTAAAAAGTTTAGTAAGTTAAGACATTCTCAAATCTCTTAGACATTATTACATTTCTATAAAAATACCATCAATCCTATTATTTTTTTACACTTAATTTTCTTTAAAGTGAATATGTTGATCTTCCATTTTACTAATGGGACAGTAGAAATAAAAAATATTGTTATTATTTATAATATTAAGATCATTAAAGTCAATCATATTTTTACAATCTCACTAAAATATTTATCAAGATATCTCACGCACCTATGTTGAATATTTTCATCTAAAAAAATTATTTTTCAATTTTTATCCTTAATACATTTTATTTGAAACTAAATTTTTACTTTTTTATATCTTTGTTTGGTTATTTTATACATATATATTTCACAATTTTTAGCATCTAATATATGATAAAGATCATTATTAAAGAATTTTTAATATCAAAAGTTATTCTTTCATACTTCCTACCAGTTACCTTATATTTTTTTAATTCTCCATGCTTTTATATCAAAACTAATTTTTATAACAAAATTTTTATTTTTTATCTTTTCTTACACATTATTATTTCACCACAAATTATTTTTCATTCATGAGATTTTTCTTTTGATTCTCCAAACTTATTTTTTGCAACTTACTCAATAGTATTCGTTACTTTATTCCTACTAATATTTTTTTATGAACATCTCAAACCTTAAGATTTTGAAATTTACTCATAAAAAAAATTTTATTTATGCATTTTAAGTGTCCACATCTAATTCTATGACAATATTTTGTTATATGCTTCATCTTTCAACCCTTCATTGTAAAATCCAAAATCAAGAGTTGATATTAAATACTTAATTTTTTTATTCGAAATGACCTTACAATCTTTACAATTTCAACAATCTATTTTTCATAAAAAAAAATCAATTTATGTTTTATTAGATTCATTCTTATAAGTGACAATATGTTCATCTATTTTCTTAAATAAACTATTAGCAATAACAAAATTATAAGCCAAATCAAATCTAATATGACTCTATTTTCTTTATTAATCGCTCTAAAGTCATATTCATCTTGAATACTTCTAAAATTTTCTACCACTCTACTAACATGTTCATTTAGATCTCCAATAAAAGTTATTTCTTTAAGAGATATATTTTATATTAAATCTTCAAAATCATTCTAAATTTTTTCTTTTAAACATATTTAAACCTATGATAATATTTTGTTGTATGTTTCATCTTTCAACCCTTCATTGTAAAATCCAAAATCAACACTTGATATTAAATACTTCATTTTTTTACTCGAAATGTCCTTACAATCTTTACAATTTCAACAATCTATTTTTTCATAAAAAAAAAATTAATTTATGTTTTATTACATTAATTCTTATAAGTGATAATATGTTCATATATTTTCTTAAATAAACTATTAACAATAATAAAATTATAAGCTAAAGTAAAATCTAATATGACCCTATTTTCTTTATTAATCACTCTAAAATAATATTCATCTTGAATACTTCTAAAATTTTCTACCACTCTACTAGCAATAAAATTTATTTCTTTAAGAGATATATTTTATATAAATTCTTCTAGATCATTCTAAAATTTTTCTTTTAAACATATTTAAACCAACTTATGGAGCATAAACATTTATAATATTAAGAATCTTAGTATCAACAACAATCCTCAGAACTATAATTTTATCCCCAATTCTATTATTTTTTACAATCTAGTCATTCAAACTCTTATTTATAATTACACACATATCATTTATAGTACGACTCTTACCTGAATATAAAAGTTTAGAACATAAACTATTAATCTCCTTAGTCTTTTCTCTATCTTATTTAGTTTCTTGAATATATAAGACATTTACCATGAGGTAAAGTAATAGTATCTAAATCTTAGACATTTATTATAGGGTCTTTAAATAATTAATCATAAGAAAGGTGAGATCATAAAAAAACTTCTAATGCAAAAGAGATTAATGCATAAAAGCTATAAATCTTAGGAAGCATGAGTAATAGCCAGAGTTCAACGTGTTTTATTTGACTTATTTCATGAAACTATTACCAATAATTGCATTCCAATTTCTCTTTCCATCACCTCACAAATTCACATCTAGCATCTCATCTGACAAATCTACTCAATTTGTTCTTTAAGCTATTACAATAAATGAAATATGTCTGCTACTAATGGTGGGTATGAGTTACAAGGCAGCTTACAAATTGGCATGCAACCCCACTTAAAATTGCATAACCTTGCAAAAAGCATAACAATGACGCTCATACTTACATTTGGTGAAAATTCATCACCAGAGCTAAAATTTTTTGAGCAAGGATATTCAGTGAAAATGTTATACTAATTAGAAGCACAAAAAGTTAACATTAACATGAGCATTGCGAGTTTTTGTTGTATTCTATTTCTTTCATGGTTTACTTTGATAAAAAGCCTACTTATCATGGTGAGCCTATTAAGGATGATCTATATCTCGAATGTTATGATCACATCTTCATGTTCAGTTTATTGTGGCAAGTAATTCGATTTACCCCTTAGATTGTCGAGCTCAATGCTTTCCAATCTCCATATTTTATCGAAAGTCTAGTTCTATGCTTAACATGAATTTTTTATTTCTGCTTTGTTCATGTGCATGATGGTTTCAATTGTGGTTAGGCACTACAACAAAAGGCATGGGTTTATCCATAGAAGTTTCTTGTGTTTCATTGGTGGTTACTTCTTCCCTTATGCGACCTTACTCCAAGATTGTAGTGCAACTCAAATTTTCTCATAAGTTGGTGTCTTGCCTTTTAAGACTATTGAAATTGTGGTTCTATTCAGTCGTTTTCATATGGGGGTTTTCTTACTTGGTACTATAATAGACTTGCTTCCTTTCTCAGAAATGTACAATAGCAAGGAAAATTGTAACGTGCAGGTGTTGAAATGAGAAGTTAAAGATATAATTTTACTACTTTTGGTAAAAGTTAAGATTGGAAAGACATTCTTGATAGAATTCAAGTGTGTTAAATTTAAACTCGTATTATTAGACAAAATCTAGATGAATTTTACGGAATTATTTATTGAGTCATTTGTCATAATATAACCTCTAAGGCATGCAAAGAACATTGAACAGAGTTAAAAAAAGTTTATTTTTCTAGAAATTCTTGTGTGTGCCAATAAATGTCGATAGTTCAAGTGCTCTGTATGTTTTAATAACACCTTCTGGGACATGACTATCCTTACAATAGTTTGAAACCTGGAAATTCAAATAAGAGACTTTTATCTTTCACTATTGATTCTACAGTGATTAAGACATCATATGATTGAGATGTTGTCAATTTTGATACGTACTGGTTTCCACTTTTTTGGTTTGAATTTCATTAGCTATAAACTGTTATTGGTTCTCAGATTTCATGTGAAATTTTAATTTTTGATGACTTCTATGTTATCATCTGGACAAAATGAAATGAGACTAATTTTCCATCAAAAGAGAGAATTCAGTTTAAATTGTAAAATCTACGAATTGCTAGATTTTAAGATGTCCTGCATCACCGAGTGCTGCATGAAGCACATGGCTTTGTACAACATACAACATCAAATAGACTTAAACACCACATCAGATCTTGGAACCAAAATATTCCATTGGAAAATTAGATCTTCAGCTAATATTAATTAATCATATTATAAATGATTTTAAACAAGTATAGACAAATAGCTTTACAGCTTTCATCTACTTCATATTAATCAAATGCAAACTAGCCACGAACCTTCAAAACTAATATTATGCCTTCAACAGTTATTATTGCTTTATTCAACCTACTCAACAGCATTAACAGGCTGCATTTTGATAATAACGACCAAAACGTAAAATGCAGGCATAAAACCTGGTGTTAACGTTCTAAAAAATTATTAGTTACTTATTGTGAGTGAATCATTTCAAATTTTCAAGCATAGATGATGAACAATAGATGATGTATATCAGCATATGCACATCCCTAAAATAAATCCAGCTTGCAGCAGAAACTAGCCAGTTACCTCAAAATAATCAGCATGTATGAGGTCTGTTGATATTTTTCTGAACCGTAAAGCTAAAGCTCCAGTCAGATATTTTGATGTTGAATACAATGTGGATTGAAGAAAACAGAGGATGATGTTTTCTATAATTAGCCGCATAAATAATGGCACGCGTCTCAGAAAAACAGCTCGAAACAAGAAACCTTGGACTTTAGCAAGTCTGTTACTCAAGGCAGTTCTCAACACCTACAAAGATGCAAAACTGAAATTAAGATTTATCCTATGTAATGTTTCAATGAAAATAAGAATGAGACCATAGATGTATAACACTTAATGATGCATCTATTATTTCACAGAAGTTAAATCAGATTTTAAGAAACAGCATTAAAAACACACCACCAACGGCACAATATAAATAAATATATTTTACTCTACAGATAACACCTACCAAAAGAATCAGAAAGTTAATATTATCAGTAATTAATTGTCTCCAACGGCACAATATAAAATATTTTTTATGAATAAAATTCAAGATTTTAAAATTTTGGATATTCATGAAGAAGCAAATGTTATGTGGGATAAAGTAACAAACACTATTAAACAAGTAGCAAAAGATGTGTTTGGAGAATCAAAAGAAAAAGATTTTATAAATAAAAATAGTTGGTGGTGGAATAATAATTTGCAAGAAAAGATAAAATATAAGAAGTTATGTTATAAAAATTAATGATTTAAATACCATTAATAATAATAAAACATTTTATTTTTATTATCACATCAGTAAAAAAATTGAGGAGGCTTTAAAGAAAACCAAATGATGAAAAATTTGTAGGCTTTGATGATATCCTCAATGAAGTGTAGAAATAATTAGGAGATTTAAGTGGAGGAAGAGTACCTAGGTCCCTATATTCAAGAATAAAGGGGATGGCATAAGTGTGTGAAAATTGTAGAGGAGTTATGTGTCATATTTTAAAATTTTGGGAGAGTGTACTTGATCATAGGTTAAGATGAGATACAAAAAATTCTCGTAATCAGTTTGGATTTATGTCTGACAAGTCTACTAGGGAAGCTATACATTTATTGAGAGGTTTAATGGAGAAGCACAAAGTAAGTAAGAATGATTTACATGTATTTTTTTATTGAATTAGAAAAAGCTTACATAGGGTTCCTAGAGAAGTTCTTCCTTCGAAGACTTTTAGGGTTTGTTTGAGGTTGTTGCAGCTTATTGAATAATCTGCTGATAAGCTGATTAAAAATAATTTGCTAATAAGTTAGGTGTGATGACTATTACAAATTATTATTTTTTTGAAAAAACTAGACTGGAGCCAGAAAACTGTCACCGCACCTAGATAGGTGCAGCGTGAAAACGCTGTTTTCAGCGTTTTGAAAACGCATAAGCTGTCAAAACACAGTTTACCCAAACAAATCAGGTGTGTTCTCAAAACGTCACCAAACCAAATAAGCTGCTCAAACAGACCCTTAGAAAAGAAAGATATTGATATGATTTATGTTGATGTCATTCAATATATGTATACTAGAGTTGGTACTTGTATTCAAACTGAAGGAGGATTGACAAAATATTTTTGTGATAGGACCTTGTTTCATTTAATTTTACAAGAGGGCAATACGAGCATTACAAAGTCGGATTCAGCATGCCTTATAGTTATTATTTACATAAAATGATTCTTTAAGCATTAAGCAGTAATGTTTTAATTATTCTGTGAACGTATTGAGGGGAAAGTAATTAATACTAAGTGAAGCAATTGCAACCTGCAAACAGATTCCCGTTCATTTCTTCCTCTCTCTATTTAATTGCTAATTAAGTGAAACCGTTTTAATTTACCAGACTGATATATCTCTTTTTTTTACATCTTGCTTATAGATTATTAAGTAGCATATCTTATGCCGTGCAATCGAATGTTGTACAATTGATATTGTATGAGATATTTAGGTTTGGATATCATTGTTGAGCCGTTTATGTGTGTAATTATAATTAGTCATTTGTTTTGTGTTGTCTTCCTTTATATTGTTTAGTTAATCCTTATGAGTAAATTGGGCATTTATTTTATAAAAATTATGCCAAGATAAAATTGTAGTGCAAGCATAACATGGACTTACGTTGTAAATAACGAATACATGATGGTAAGATAAAATTCAAATCATTAAAGTATTTGTGTAGTCATTATTAAAAATGAGGAGGCAGATAAAAAAAAATTGTGTTGCATTTTTTTAAGCAAAATATTATAACAAATTTATGAAAGGAATGCAACAAAACCAATTATAAAGGGTAGCTAGAAGGAAAAATTTAAAGCAAAATACAAAATATATGATAACATGAGAGCAAAGAAGAGAGTATCCATTTGAAGGTAATTAGCTACTCCATAAAATTTTCATTAGAACTAAATGATAGAACTAAATGAGGAATATGACACTAAATAGACGCAATGGAGAAAAAGGATTCATGTAGCTGACCCCACGTAGTGGGATTAAGGCTTTGTTGTTGTTGTTGTTGTTGTTGTAATTGTCTCCTGACAAGAAAACCCGGAAGTTAATATTACAGCGGCAAGTTGCTAATAGAGCTTCAACGAAAGCCGAAAGCCTGCCTAAAAAAAGGGAATAAATTCCTTGCATAAGCTCCACTAATCCTTATCCAAAACATCGCACAAATATATTCTAAAAGCAGCGATGCATGAATCCAAATATTTAACACATAAATTCTTTTATGCAAGCACTATTTTAGTCCTTACAGAAAACTTTGTAAATAAACGAACAATAATTGAAATAAAAATACAAATACGGACAATTAACTGCGACTGGTTTATCTCAAACAATAAACTGACCAGGGCCATTTGTAAGATATAAATCTAACAGAAATAAAAAAACATAAATAAATAAATCCAATTTAAAAAAATAAACAAATCAAACAAAGGCTAGAGAATCAACAAACAAAACCATGATAGTATAAGAAATTAGAAATCTCTAAAAATAGTAGCCCACGGTAAGACCCCTTAAAACCAAAGAAAATGAGGCAATGACAGAAAAAGATGTGGCTTACTGCAGTGATCACCATCCCCACAAGGGTCCTTAAACCTGTAGGGCCAATTTTCGAGAGCAAAACTGCAGTTAAAACATGTAGAGATTTATGGCCGCTCCCTTTTTTTCTCAATACTTTAGTTGTCTCGTCATCTACACCATTTTGGGTCAAGTGCCGAGTAACATCTATGGAGCTCTCAGATCTGTCTCGTTTGATTTTATTGATTCGTGACTGCATATAAAAAGCAGTTCCACCAGTCACCATGGCACCTGCGACTAGAGCAAGAGTCCTCCTATGGATAACACCATGCACAGGCAATTATTAGTGCTTAAGGAATTCAGAAACGTAAAAAAAATAAAAGAACAGAATTTAAAAAAAAATATTACATACATACCACAATTCCTATGTATTTACATTTGTAACACCTAAAGTTTGATATTTACACACTTTTGTGTCATAAACATATGCATGAAAAGGTATTTCACTTTTAAAAAGTTAGTAATAGCAGTATTCTTTATGCAACATTAAAGATGTAAGTGTTATGCATGTAAATATGACAGTTTTGGTGTTAGAGATATAAATAGATAAAATTGTGTGAAATGTATGTAAATGCCCCCAAAAAAAATCAGTATAATTTCAACAGAAACAGCTAACAAATTGTCAGGTGTCAATAAAAACTACACAGAAAAAACTCAAATGTTTTTACGTGAATACAAAAGAATGCAAATGCATCAAAATTCAAACAGATTCTGTCCATGCAAACGTCTAAAGTAACTTTACAAACAAGCATAACAAGTTCCTATGGTTAAATGATTGAAAACTAGCTAGACAAATGGAGGAGCAGAAAACTGGAAAGCGTGGAATGTGGACAATAATTTCATCATGAATCAACAAATTACAAAACGAAGTGGGTTGTAGATTTATTGCCAAAAAGAATAATGAAGAGCTTGAAAAATTCTGACTTTCTAAAGGCAGGCACAATAAATAACCCTCAGACATTCACATAAATCATCAAATATGATGATCAATGCAAGCTATTTCAACGTTTCTAAACATGACTAAATGGTACATAGTATATTATTGACCCGTCAAACTTTTTATTTATTCCATAAGAGAAATATCTTTGTTCTAGTATAAAATGAATAATATTAATATTAATAAGGCTTCCTTGACCACTTCTCATAATAATGTTCCCAATCATGAAATTTATTCATTGCTAGTTTTATATCAAAGAAAAGGCAATCACCACAAGAATAGAATGCCCAATACGGCTATTTTTTTATTTTTTATTTTTTATTTTAACAACACCACAGCCATCCAAGTGATTAATTATGGGATAAGGAAAATCTATGTTCAATGGAAGCATTTAAGTAGGGAGAGCAGAAACTTTGAAAATATTCATAAATTCAATTTTGTAGTCTTCCACAAACGAGAAGTTCATGAAAGTATTGGAAATAAATCAAGTTGTTGAGGAGTTCAAAAATAAAATGCATCATACCATTTTAAGTAAGGAAAAAATGAAAAGAAAATAATCTTTTAAAATCTAAATATTTTAAAGTAATGCAAAATGACTCGTATAACTGAACACTCGTGCATCAAAAAGATAGATTAAAAAACACCATTTAGTATAAACAAAGCAAAATCTAAATAAAAAAGTGATTTTGCCAGACTTTCATGCTATAGGACACTGCAAACAAATTTTGGTATATCAATAGAATAAATAAGATTTAAGAAAATAAAATGCTAAAAACTCATCAAAAGATTTAAGAGGCTTATACAAAGTTATTGTGCTTTAGAATAACAGTTTAATTTGATATACCAGAGCCTAGAGTGGCAAGCAGATAGATGGCTTCTTTGGAGGTAGCAGACACTGCATGTTTCATAGCAAACTTAAATTTCACTAATCTTTCTTTCAAACAAGAAAGTTTCCATGTTTTTAATGTCATTACTCTAATCTAATCATCAACCACTACATTTCTACAAGCAATTAAACATAGGGCATGTGCAAGAATAAAATATCATTGGCCTTCCAAATAAAAAAAAAAAATTTAGGCCACAGAAAGAACTCGGTAGTTCAGGTAGCTAAGACAATCTAATACAAAGAGTATGCAAAAGAGCATACTGAAGGTAGATATGACAATAAACAGCAAAATTCATTTGCATACCTCCTGGAAGTAAGAATACTTCGTCCATGTTCAGTTAGCTGCATTAACTGCCCAGAGAACATCTTTTAAAATATTTCTCAGAAGAAAACATGCAATCAATAATGCATGGACCTCTATCAGCTAACTGCAAAACGAATGGAAGTAACAGCTGACATAACAAACCAAAACTCTGGGCCTGTAAATGCACCAAATTGGAGAGATCAAAGCAGAGAGTAAGCAGTTTAATTCTTTTCAAGCGCCCTCACCTGAAAGTTGCAAAAGATTAAAGATCCATGTTTGAGCTAAGAATAGAAAAATAACCAAAATTAATGCGACTAAAAGGAGATCATTAACAGGAAAAGGCAAAAACTTCTCGAGGCAGAGATAATTCAAAAATAATTATAATAATGATAATCTTACCCTTAAACAATAGAAAATTGACTACCAAAATCAGGGTAAAATTCAATGCAAACAATGGAGCATCATATACATATGCTGCATGAAAATTGAAATGTTACTATATTAAAAACATGAATCAAACAGATTAAACAGCGCGAATGAAATAAAGCCTATAAGACAGGTTATAAGCTAAAATGTAAACAAGAACATTGGCTTCCAGTGTAGTGAACTTTCAGGTCATATGCAAAAAATAAGAGCCGCTAATGGCCCTTCTTCCACAAGTAATGTTTTTGTACCACACAGGTCAGGCTAAAATGGAGTTATTCATAAAATCAAACCAAAGAAGTAAAAATTGAAATCATTTCACAAATTTGGTGACACTGGTGTAATACAAAGGCGTTCATTCAACCAAAACATAACAAAAAGTCAAAATTCATCAACAATAGCATAATTTGTAGCTGTAATATTTAAGGATTCAAAGCTTCAAGTTTACATACTGAAACATTAGTTAAACTAACATAATCAAATCAAAGCATATTACCTACAAATATGGAACAAACCAAAGAGAAATCTACAAACATATAACATGATCTCAAGAGGCATGCTTGGAACAAATCAACTTTCAGTTTCACTGCAGGAGATTATGCTTAAATATTGTGAAAGAAAATAAGCGAGTGGTAGATTACTGCAGCGGGCTAAAAAAATTTGATATAATCCAGAATATCATCAAATAGAATCAGTTCTTGCGTTCAATTTATTGTATGCTCAAAAAAAATAAAAAATAAAATTAAAAAAAAACAAAGTCACTATGAAAACATGGAATTCACCATCATAACAACATAAAAGCAGTCACCCATAATCTGGAAATAAGATAACGCACATTAATTTCAAGTTTCCTCAATTACAATCAAGTTCCCAACCTGCGTCTCGTTCGATCAACCTAGGCCTCCTTAAACCGCACTTTAATCGAGAAAATTAAAATACAGGGAATCATTCATCCTCTGGTCCACGTATAGCTCAAAGTACAACATCTACCAACCAATGAAACATATACCACCCCGTTGCGGCTAACAGCAGTCCTGCCCTAGAAACCAACTCAATCCCAGCCACCCCAGAGAATGCATGAAAACCAGAACGTCCCACTTTCCTCTTCCACGAAATACACAGAAATCAATAGAACAACAGTCGAACGATCTAAGGGGCTATCTGGTAACGAATTTAGAACAGGATTTAACCTGGATTTAAACTAACCTTGCCAGACCGTCAGTTGGGACAAAATAAAGCCGTGGATTTGATAAATCCAAATTTCACGGATTTAGGCCGTAAATCCCGGATTTACTAAATTCCGATGTTCCGCGTAATTAGCAAAACCAGAAACGCGCGCGTCGAGAGAAAGAAAGAAGTGAACTTACCTTCCTCAATGGTTACGGGCAGGAACAGAGCAAAAGGAGGAGAAAGATGGCCAGCTAGCTCAAATCGCGACTGTGTATCACGAGGTTTCGGACAAGAAGGCGGGCACGATCCAGAAGCTGTCGACCCTCGAATACATCGATAGAGCGGAGAGACAGGACCTGAAAACTTGCGAAAATGAGAGGGAGATCAACTTAGTTCTTTTGCGGCCGGCGAACTACAGAGCGGACTGACTTCGGTAGAGCGTCCAGCTTCGCCCCGTTACGGAAGAAAGAGCGGCTGGTAAACTCCAGACCCGAAGCCGGTGAGATGCTCGCGGGTTTCTTTCAGATATACAGTTCCGCTGACGTCACGGTTCTTTGCTGTGAAACTGTGAAAGCAAACACGACGGGCCGGCCGCACTTGATTTAGGGTATGTTTGAGGCAGCTTTTAAGTGCAGCGGTGTTCTCAAAAATGGCGCCGCATATTTGTTATGAATGTTTTCGGTGCTTATCAAAAAACGGCGTCTCTAATTTAGTGGATACGCGATCGCGTGTATAACCCCGCGATCAACGTTCCGAACGTCCTGTCCCCTCTCCGCGCGACATTCTCTGTTTCCTAAGCGCGCAACAATGCCTCTCCTCCCTCTGCACTTCCTAATCGCCCGAGAGTGCTAAAAAATCTCTATCATCTTCTTTCTTCTTCACTCATTTATTCGTTTTCTGATCTTCTCCTCCCCCGCCCTACCCTAGATCGCAATCCTGAAGTTCTGTTCGCCATCCCGATCGCGATCCCTACTTCTATTCGCCATCTTGACTCTCACCTCTGTTCGCCATCCCGATCGCGACATTGCCGACTCTCGCCTCTGTTCGCCATCCCGATCGAGACATTGCCTCTGTTCGCCATCCCGATCGCGACATTGTCGCTCCCTGCTTCCTTCGGCATCCAGGTATGAACATTTATGTCATTTTGGATCTAGTATGAGAACCACAATGCTACTGTTCGCCATCCCGATCGTGACATTGCCGCTCCCTCCTTCCTTCGGCATCCAGGTATGAATATTTTTGTCATTTTGGATCTAGTATGAGAACCACAATGCTAACTTTATTCCATAAGCATTTGAGTTCACAAATTTGTATTTTTCTGAGATAAATTGCATGGTTTACAGTTCCAAGCCTTCCATTGTTATGGTGTTAAAGCTTTGTCATCCATGATGCAAATAATAATTGTCCTACAAGTGATATTTTTATCTTTTTATTTTGTAATTCAAAATGTGTGCTGATTTGTTTTAGGGTTAAAGCTTTTTCCGACAAGGACCGCATTCACTTTTATGCAATAAACTATTAAATTGTGTGATTGTATTCTCTATTTTAATCTTCTTCTTCTGCATATTATTTATGTCCATTTAGATTCATAAAAAATAATGTGTCAATATTTTATTGTGTAGAGTTCTACATTTCTAAGCACGACTCAATGACACCCCTACAACGATAGTTAGGAAACTTAACATATTTTCTTATAGCGATAGGATTAACTCAATGTGAAAAAGTTCTCAATGTGAAATAGTTTATATCACAAATTCTTTCCCAAATATTTTTCTAATATTAAGGCCTTCTTCAATGTTTAAGGCTTTATTGGATTTTTGGATTTTTATGCTCAAGTTATTGGATTTTTTACGTGAAATTGTTGTAGCATTATTGGATTTTTTATGCTCATGTTATTAAATGCATTCTTTTCTTATTTAACCTTTCACTAGTAAGTACTGCAATGAATAAGAACAAAGAAGTTGGATTGTCTATCATGTGGGACAGGTAAACAACAAATATTTTTTGTGATCTCTGTATTAAGGAGGTGGAGTTAGGAAATAGACCTACGATATTTTTTAACAAAGAAGGTTGACAGAATCTTATTGTCAAATTCAAGAAACTAACAGGAAGAGATTATGACAAGATGAAATTTAAGAACAAGTGGGTTCAATTAAAGAAGGATTGAAAATTTTGGAAAGAACTTAAGAGGAGAACTACAGGTTTTGGCTGGGATCCAGTGAAGCGAACCATAAATGCTCCTGAGGATTGGTGGGCTGAGAAACTAGAAGTAGAGACTTGCCTTATACCATTTCCTTATTTCAATTTTGGATATATTGAACTGATTTAACTAATTCAATTTTCTATGTCTTGCAGGTCGTGTCAGCAGCTAAGAAATTCAAAATGAATGGAATTGATCCAACAATGGAAGAGAAGCTGGATGGTATGTTCAGTGGGGTTGTTGCAACGGGAGCACATGCTTTCACCCCATCTGAACTTAACTTCATTGACACAACTGCTCTTCTTGGAACTGATAATATAAGTGGCTCAGGAGAAGTGCCCTGCGACGAAATCTATAGGTCAATGGAATCCTGATCAGTTCCAAAACGGCGTACGGTGAAGAAAAGGAAGAAAGGAACCGCATTCGTCAGAAGCACAATCGAAAAACTTGTTGAATCATGCATTGTATTTTGTCGTTGCTCTCTCTACCTTAAGTTGCTCTAAGAAATGCAATTATATAGACTTCTTATATGGTTGTTATGTGGATTTATAAATATGTTTATCTCAGTACTAATTATAAATGTAAGTAGTAAAAGTTTAGGTGTTATCTATATAAATATAAAGGATTTGGATGGTATGTCCCTCAAGTTGCGATGGTATGTACCTCAAGTTGCTCCAGGAAATGCAATTATATAGACTTCTTATATGGCTGGGGGGGGGGTGTGTTTATGTGGATTTATAAATATGTTTAGACACCTGTCCGGACTATTTACTACTTACATTTATGCATTTTTTGATAGATGTGATGAGTTGTGTTAAATCCCGTTGCTTTCCTACCAGACTCGTGCTCTCCAAAAACGTGCATCTTTTTTTCACTGATCTGCTATGTAGTGTTTTTTTGGATTTTAGTAAATTAAATATTTTCTCATTATATTGTTGTTGCAAACAGTTCGACTGCATGTGGTTGAAATGTTCATTTTTCCACAAACAGCTACAAATAAGCTGTTTACAAAATGCAGAAATCAAACAACTAAACAGCTTATTAAAAACAAGGGCAGAATGATCATATAGAATCAACTGTTTTCCAGACGCACAAATCAAACAGTCAAATAGCTTATCCGGATCAGCTGCTCATCAGCAAATTATCAAGATAACTGCTTATCAGCAGAAGCTGGATAAATTGCAGCTGCCCCAAACAGACCCTTACTATTGTGCTTAACATGATAAATATTTTGAACTGAATTTAATAAATGAGCTAAATACAAATAAAATTTCATTGGGCTAATTTTAATTTGAAATAATTAAATAATAAAATATTAATTTTCATTTCTATTATTTTAATATTTGTTTTTTTATACTGCATTTAAAAAATACATGTAAGTAATTTGGATGATGTAAATGTAAAAAATAAAATTTAGATATTAGATATGTAAATAGATAGAAATTGGTTCATATGTATTTAAATGTTCAAAAGAAAAAAAAAATAAGCTCATGTCACTATGATGAAGGTTGTTGGAATTGGAAACTCATAAACTCGCTCTAAATCTTTAGGGGTCTTTAGAGATAATTTTTTTTAGTATTTTGTTTCTTAGAACTGTATTGCATTTTTATGAGGGCATTAATATAGATACCACATAAAAATTCTTATTTATTTACATATATATAGCCAACAATTTTGTATTTACCAACACAGCCTTCAAATCTTTAAATATCACATCAAAAATATCATTTTTTATTTTTTTTAAAATAAAATTTATATTTTATACATATATTTATTATTTCAAAATTTTATAAATATGAATATTGATAGGTCGTCAATAATTTCCATGACCTGACACAAATCTAGAGATATAGTACGATTATTAAGAGACTTTTTAAACAAAAATGTTTAAACTTCAATAAAAGTCATTCATAATTCTGATTTTAGCAAACTTATAATCAAACTGATCGCTTCGACTAGACGGACCCAATGATATCAAATTGGTCTAATTTGAGAAAAATAATGCTAAAATCAAGTCGTTAAATCACTTCTAAAATCTCTTAGTGCATAATTTGAATGTCAAATAGATTCCAAATATATCATGCTCATGGTTAAGTTGAATGTCTTGATAAGATGAATATAACAAGTCAATATCACTCAATTCTAACATCATTAAGACACTTAAATGTTCATACAATACCATTCGTTCTAGGAATCTTCCCCAGGGCGCCTGATCAGAGTGGTATAAATTATTTTTTTAATTCTCAAAAGAGAGTTAACCTCTTTTGAGAATGGGCATCAACCCGGAGTAAGAAGAAGACTGAGGAGTTGAAGCTCAACATTGTTTCCGTACTAAAGACCTTGCGAATTTCAATCACTACTACAGCTTTCGATTACCATCGACTACCACCTACCGGCCATCCACCATTGGGCTCCACCTGCTTCTTGCAGCAAAGTGCCTTGTGGAGCCACAACACGCATTATGAAATCTCAACGTGTGTTGCATAACAATGAAACACCGACGGAGTAATACGTTGTCTAGTATAGCGTGTAACAATGCACTTCAAATATGGTGTAACAATGCACCCAAATATGGTGCAATGACACACACCAATGACGATTTAACAATGTACTCTACATACAATGTAACAACAACTATCGAAGATGGTCTAAAAATAAATTTCAATGATGGTGACTTTCTCCGGACTTCTAAAGCTCCTAACTTCAGCCTCTGCGGCTTACAAACATCATCACAACTTGTTCAACTCTAAACTTCAGTATTTGCGGCTTAATGAAGTCATCACAGCTAGTATAGCCCTCAACGCTGGCCTCTGCTATCAACAAACATTATCATATCTTGTTCAGCTCTCAATACCGGCCTTTACAACCTACAGACATCATCACAACTGGTTAGTTTATGACTCAGGCCTCTGCAGCCCACAAACTTAATCATAGCTCGTGCAACTCTGAACTCCAACCTCTTCATGCAACATACCATATCACAACTCATGCAACTACCAACTTTAGCCTCTACGACCTTTGTACATCATCAAAACTCGCTACTACGACCTACATTACCAACTATAACTTACATGATCTAAAACTCGTGAAACTTTAGTCTCCAACTTATGTGACTTATAGACGCTATCACTTGTCGTATAGCTCCCAAGTACAAGCTTGTGTATGTCAACACCATTATTATAGCTCTAAACTCTGGCCTTTGTGGCCCACAGAAGTTATCGCTGCTTATGTAGCTCCTAACTCTAATCTCTACGACTTATAGATGTCATCACAGCTTGTGTAATTTTTTAATATGGCCTCTGCTACCTATGTAC